GACCCCGCGGCTGCCAATGCTGGGGTGGGTCTTGAGGAGATTAAGGCGCACGGGCGGTGGAGGTCCGATGCGGTGCTGGTCTAAATTCACCGGTCCGTAGCTGTGAGGCAGACAGTGGTGGAGCGAATGTGACGCGACTGGGTGGGTGGGGGAATGTTTCGCTGGGTTAGGCGTGGGGCCAAAGTAACCCAAGCGAGGCCGTCGGCTGCCTACTGGTTACCAATGCGGAAGAGCACAGTAGCCCGGAAGGGCCGCACGAAGTAGCATGCGCGCTCTGGCAGGCAGGCTGGGCGTCTTTTCTCCCCAACCATATGTCCACGTCCCCGGTGCCTTGTTCTTGTTAGTCGTACTGTAACGAACGCGTTTGGGTTTCTCGTCCCGGTGTCTTGGTCTGGCTAGCTGCTCAGCCCGGATTTAAAGAAGTACTTTAACTTCGGTTATATGACCTCTCATCCTTTAGCAGACGTTTCCAGATTATCTTGTCAGTTGGGCGATTCCTTGGGGGTCTGCCAGCCGAACCCAGGGGTGCCCCGACCCGAATCGGGCTCCAGCACGCTTGTCACGAACACAACATGCACGCAAATACCACCAAAGCCAGCAATAATAAACTGACTTCTGGACCCTTGAGTACATCGCCTGGACACTGGGAAATAGAGAGGATCAGGGCCCAACGCACAGCCACACCACCAGAACTCCAAACCACCCGCTCACTCCTGCACCTCTAGCCCTCCAATCAGCTTCATCATAACCTCATCATCATGCACACCGCGTTCCACTTAGCTTAGGCGCTTTTCAGTGCCTCACAATAGGCCGCCGCATCCAGCTCGCTCTTGCCATACGTGTAAGTATCCTTCTTTGTTGTATGTTTAGACGGCCCGGCACCGGAGTCGGTCATTTTTGGGGGACTAAACGAGTCAAGGCTGTCGTTTCGCTTTAAATGTGTGTAGGTTTCGGGGCATCAAAAAAGTACAACATCAGAACGTTCTAACCCATTCTAGGCCTGCTCTTCTAAAATTCTAATTAGAAATTATAT